TATGAAGAAATTTCAAAAGAACACAATCCAGTCAGTACCCACTATACTTGTATATTCACATATACATATTGTAAGGACTTATTTTTATGTGTGTAGAAACGGGTCACGGGTTATCTTTAAACCTGTGATATCAAAGAAACACTTTTCTTTCAGTGTTAGAAATGCTACACCTTGTTTAGGATTTACCAGCTATTTTAGCGCATGCTTTACCTGTCTCTGAGGATTTATAAGCAGTTTGGCGCAAAGCTTACCTTTGAAGGACTTACAAGCAATTTAGCTTATGCTTCACCCTTCTCTGTGATATCAAAGAAACACTTTTCTTTCAGTGTTAAAAATGCTATACCTTGTTTTAGGATTTATTAGCTATTTTAGCGCATGCTTTACCTGTCTTGGAGGATTTATAAGCAGTTTGGCACAAAGCCTAACCTTTAAGGTTTTACTAGCAATTTAGCTTATGATTCACCTTTCTTTAAGGGATTTTAAGCAATTTAATTTGAATCCACCCCCTTTTGGTCGGGTAGGACCACAGATTAACTTACGTTAAATCTGGCAACAAATCTTGTTCTACACAATATAAAATAAGAGTTTAGGAGTCTTATCAGACTAATAGATTAAGGGATTTAGGTTAAATTTCGAGGCATCTAACCTATTTTGGACTGGAAGTGAGTTTGAAATAGCATAACTTGAGAGTTTTCATTTTTGGGATGTGGTTATAGAAACCACAAATGGCAGCATCTAGTTATAGATGTGCATACATTTTGGTCAAACGATAAGACTAACTTGGGAGTTAAATCTTTTAGTTTTAGTTGGACCAAAGTGATCAGATTGATTTGAATCATCTGAGTTTTGCTTTGAAGTAAAGTTGGTTATCACTAGCTGAAGAGATATTTTGGAGTTATTAGATTTAGTTAAATTTCTATATTTTGATTCTCCAAGAATGTCAAAGGTTATATTTTCTTCTCATATAAGCTAAGACATTTGGTATTGAATTCTTAGGTTGTGACTTTAAGATTTCATTATTGAGTGGTGAGAGCTGATGTTAATGCTTTCACACGGTTTTCAATAATGGCTCTAAGTTTATTCTCATATATGTGCAGAATGACCGTTATATTCAATGACCACCAAACTGAGACACCAATTAAATGTTACATTCAATGAGTCCAGCAGCATGGATGCTAAATAAATGTTACAATTAATGGGCCCACCCAGGGACACCATATTTATGTTGTGATTCTATAGTTAAATTCTATTCCCAGCCCGCTGGGAATTTATGTTTCTGATACTTTAAGATGTTTATTGCCCTCCCCTGTAGGGGTGGTGAAATATCTTATTTAATCAGATATTATTTCAGCTGTTATATACTGTTTATGACACACAGTCCTACTAACTGTGTGTTAGAACAATAGATTGAAGAGTGATTCGAGCACTAATCATGGTCAAACAGTTATTTCTGCACATACATGGAATAAATTCACCACAACTTCTGTTCAAAATAAGATTTTATTAACAAAAATCATTCAGCTCCACGTCAAACGTATTTCAGTTTAACACTCTCAACTAAGACTAGTAAAACTAAACTAAACTAACTACTATGTACAAAGAGGAAGGGGAAAACGGTTGAAAAACATATTACAGTTTAAGATGGATTCTGTGTTTGAAACCAAAGTTTATCTGGAAGAATTTGGAATGTGATCAAATTAGCTTTTCACTAATTTTAAAGAAATTGGAATGTTTTCAGACCAATTCACAATGCAAATCCATGAGGTGAATAAAACATTATTTGGCCAAATAATGTTTTATTAAATGATTTGCTTAATCAAGAACCAATAACCTTTAGCTAAATGATTCTTTACCTTCCTTGAAATAGCTAGCAGCGAATAGACATCAGGATTCCACTAAATGACTCTTGGTCATACTTGGCAATGGAAATTTAACGAGCATCTGAGGAACACAGGAACACTAATGTTATATCAGTGTTTAAATCCTTAGTGAATAGCTTGACTAAGCTTTAGCAACAGCTCAACACATATTCCTGTAGCATAGCGTAGCATGCAGTCCATTCTTTAGCATCAATTAGTGTTGTCTTTACTCAGCAGTAAACACACAATATGATTAGCATCATCAAAAGACATATTGCTTGTTCTGTCCCTAATAATGCCAGACCTGCTAACCTGTTTCCATGTCCATTTGGAAAGCTTGAGTTTCATCCAGTTTTGCAGCTCTGCAGTCAGGGGCTCTTTGTCTCAGTCTCACAGCAGGGGTCCCGTCAGTCTCAAACCCAGGGCATGCTCCTCATCCAGTTTGGCTCTGTAAGTTCTGAAACTCAAGAGAAATGTGTTGCAAAAGTTGTGTTTGCAGCAGTTTGGTTCTGAAGGGTTCGACTTATCCTCGATGGTTCTGGGGATCTGGTTCCCCCCGGGGCCCGCATCTCCACTGTGGGCCACAGTGGGCCCCAGCTTTGAGTGCAGGAGCAGAAGCAGGCTGGATCAGAGGAGGTAGAAAGAAGAGAGGCCAAAAGAGAATCCTGTGTGCTCTGTGGTTTTCTCTGTCCTCACAGAGGGGGGTTGGTGGTTGGTCACACCTCTGTGACTTCCATGTGACTGCTTTGGCTGAAAAAGAGGGGCTGCAGAAGTCCACCAGCTGTTATTCACCAAAGCTGCGTTTTCTTCTCTGGTCATCCTATCAGGATTAAATATGGACACTGCTTCCCAATGTCCAAAAAGTATGATCATGGCATATGGCATAACATTCCCCCTTTTGATCTGGAAATAAAAGATGCAGTTCTTTGTTTTCAGATCACAAATAGGTCCATAAAGCCATGATATCTGGAGCGGTAATGAGTCAGGTTCCTGTTGGCAGGAAGAAAGTTCATTTAGGGTTTGTATCTTCTCCAGTGTTTGTCCCCGGATAATTTGTTGCAGGTTTGACAGAAGCTGACCCTATCTTATCATAAAACTGTTCATTTTCTCCAGAGGTTTTGCATCTGGTTGAAGCAGGTCTGGCTGGAAAGTCTGACCCTGATACACAAATATATACATTCCAAACAAAATTCCCTAACACCTTCATGATGCTGTTTTTCAACTTTCATCATTTCTCAAGTTGTGAAACAAAAGAAAGAAAGGATAAAACAGGTTAAAGTATTTTAGAAATTATCAGCAACTATCATACTCCTGGATATGATAATTTTTACCATTAGCTTGGAATTGTAGTACCTTGTGATTGGTCAGAGAAGCCAGTAGCTCTGTAAGACCTGTTTTGCAGATCTGTTTTAAGTTTTCTTTTGTTGTTGTTTCTGTAGCTTTTTGATGTCCCCCTTTACCAGTGTAAACCTTTGGTTTTGCATTGTGATGTGAAGGCTTATGAACTTTATCTGGGGGTTCTGGTTTTCATTCTCTCAAGTCATTAATTCCTTCATCTTGGTGAACCACTGGGGAACTGAATCTGTGTCTGTTTCTGGTCCTGTTCTTTGTTTGAAGGTTAAAGACTCTAAGCTTGCTTTGAAATCTATCTGATTTGAGATGTATTTCCCAAACAAGCTGAGCATATCTGCGAGTTTCCTGCATAGAAAGGTTATCTATCCTGCAATGCATTGCTACATCATATCGTACACTTTCATGTAGATTTTGGATGAACAATGCTTTAAATGTGTGATCTTCTTCGTCAATATCTGGAGAACTGCAGCCCTCAAAATAAACCTGTCTCAAGCGAAAGTAATATTCTCTGGGTGATTAATGTTCTCCTTGGAGAACTAAAGATGCCTCAAGCGTTGCTAACGCCGGATCTCTGTAACCAGAATATTCTTCTCTTAAGGTTTGACAAAGAGCTGAATAACTTTCTCTGAATTTTGGAGGAAGAGATTTTATGAAACCATGGACGCTTCTAGCTGTTGTTTTCCAAATATGCTTCAATTTCTCACGAGAAGAAGGACATGGCAAGTCTTTTAGACAGTGCTCAACTTCTTGCAGATAATCAGCTATGTTGGAGTGTTGATTTTCTGGGTCAAAAATATCAATGTCTTTGGCCAAGGATTCAATTTGTTGAATTCTATGGTCACTCGGTGGACCTGGCCCGTCAGTAAGCTGGTTCTGCTCATTAAGTGGTGGGGGGGTTTTTAAGCTAACCTTTGATGACACAAGGGAGACTGGTTCTCCTTGGAGTTTTTCAAGCTGTGAACTTTGGCACTTGATGCTCGGTCAACGGAGTGTGAGAGAGAGATTGGTTTGCATGGCTGTCCTTTGCAAAATTTTAAACCGCTTGAGTTTACCAAGTGATCAACTTGTTTCTCTTTGTCTGCGACACTACTTTGACTTTGAACACCTTCAGATCTATTTAGTGTTAACTCAGAGTTTAGAGACTTTGTATCTGCTTCAGGGACTGTTCTCCTTTTGACTGGGGTGACCTCCTGTTGATTCAAAGTCTGCTTGCTTTGTTTATTGCACAGCTCCTCCAAGAGGGGGGTCACCTTTTGTTCTGAGGCATGGTCAGTCTGGCCACATGGGTCTTTGATCTTGTCAGCTCCTGACAATAAAATGTCTGCAGCACTTACTCTGTGGCAGATCATCTGATATTTGGCTTCTAACTCAGAGTACTGTTTAGCTTTTCTTTGGGATTTAAGCTGATAAAGAAGCGTGAGCTCACAGAGTACATCTGTTATCAGAAAGTTTCCATTTGGGTTTTTGAATTAAGTTAATTAATTCTTGAATATTTTCTTCACATAGGCTGAGGTTAAAATTGTTTAGGTTATCTTGCTTTTCTGGAGATAAGTGGATAAGCTTTGCAACAATTTGTTTCTGTTTCTCTATGCCTATGGAGTCAATGGTGTGCCCAGAATTGAGGATGCTTGGATCCATTTTCAGCTGATGGCACAAAAACACAAGTTATGAAGAAATTTCAAAAGAACACAATCCAGTCAGTACCCACTATACTTGTATATTCACATATACATATTGTAAGGACTTATTTTTATGTGTGTAGAAACGGGTCACGGGTTATCTTTAAACCTGTGATATCAAAGAAACACTTTTCTTTCAGTGTTAGAAATGCTACACCTTGTTTAGGATTTACCAGCTATTTTAGCGCATGCTTTACCTGTCTCTGAGGATTTATAAGCAGTTTGGCGCAAAGCTTACCTTTGAAGGACTTACAAGCAATTTAGCTTATGCTTCACCCTTCTCTGTGATATCAAAGAAACACTTTTCTTTCAGTGTTAAAAATGCTATACCTTGTTTTAGGATTTATTAGCTATTTTAGCGCATGCTTTACCTGTCTTGGGGGATTTATAAGCAGTTTGGCACAAAGCCTAACCTTTAAGGTTTTACTAGCAATTTAGCTTATGATTCACCTTTCTTTAAGGGATTTTAAGCAATTTAATTTGAATCCACCCCCTTTTGGTCGGGTAGGACCACAGATTAACTTACGTTAAATCTGGCAACAAATCTTGTTCTACACAATATAAAATAAGAGTTTAGGAGTCTTATCAGACTAATAGACTAAGGGATTTAGGTTAAATTTCGAGGCATCTAACCTATTTTGGACTGGAAGTGAGTTTGAAATAGCATAACTTGAGAGTTTTCATTTTTGGGATGTGGTTATAGAAACCACAAATGGCAGCATCTAGTTATAGATGTGCATACATTTTGGTCAAACGATAAGACTAACTTGGGAGTTAAATCTTTTAGTTTTAGTTGGACCAAAGTGATCAGATTGATTTGAATCATCTGAGTTTTGCTTTGAAGTAAAGTTGGTTATCACTAGCTGAAGAGATATTTTGGAGTTATTAGATTTAGTTAAATTTCTATATTTTGATTCTCCAAGAATGTCAAAGGTTATATTTTCTTCTCATATAAGCTAAGACATTTGGTATTGAATTCTTAGGTTGTGACTTTAAGATTTCATTATTGAGTGGTGAGAGCTGATGTTAATGCTTTCACACGGTTTTCAATAATGGCTCTAAGTTTATTCTCATATATGTGCAGAATGACCGTTATATTCAATGACCACCAAACTGAGACACCAATTAAATGTTACATTCAATGAGTCCAGCAGCATGGGATGCTAAATAAATGTTACAATTAATGGGCCCACCCAGGGACACCATATTTATGTTGTGATTCTATAGTTAAATTCTATTCCCAGCCCGCTGGGAATTTATGTTTCTGATACTTTAAGATGTTTATTGCCCTCCCCTGTAGGGGTGGTGAAATATCTTATTTAATCAGATATTATTTCAGCTGTTATATACTGTTTATGACACACAGTCCTACTAACTGTGTGTTAGAACAATAGATTGAAGAGTGATTCGAGCACTAATCATGGTCAAACAGTTATTTCTGCACATACATGGAATAAATTCACCACAACTTCTGTTCAAAATATAAGATTTTATTAACAAAAATCATTCAGCTCCACATCAAACGTATTTCAGCTTAACACTCTCAACTAAGACTAGTAAAAGTAAACTAAACTAAACTAACTACTATGTACAAAGAGGAAGGGGAAAACGGTTGAAAAACATATTACAGTTTAAGATGGATTCTTTGTTTGAAACCAAAGTTTATCTGGAATAATTTGGAATGTGATCAAATAAGCTTTTCACTAATTTTAAAGAAATTGGAATGTTTTCAGACCAATTCACAATGCAAATCCATGAGGTGAATAAAACATTATTTGGCCAAAAATTGTTTTATTAAATGATTTGCTTAATCAAGAACCAATAACCTTTAGCTAAATGATTCTTTACCTTCCTTGAAATAGCTAGCAGCGAATAGACATCAGGATTCCACTAAATGACTCTTGGTCATACTTGGCAATGGAAATGTAACGAGCATCTGAGGAACACAGGAACACTAATGTTATATCAGTGTTTAAATCCTTAGTGAATAGCTTGTCTAAGCTTTAGCAACAGCTCAACACATATTCCTGTAGCATAGCGTAGCATGCAATCCATTCTTTAGCATCAATTAGCGTTGTCTTTACTCAGCAGTAAACACACGATATGATTAGCATCATCAAAAGACATATTGCTTGTTCTGTCCCTAATCATGCCAGACCTGCTAACCTGTTTCCATGTCCATTTGGAAAGCTTGAGTTTCATCCAGTTTTGCAGCTCTGTAGTCAGGGGCTCTTTGTCTCAGTCTCACAGCAGGGGTCCCCTCATTCTCACACCAGGGCATGCTCCTCATCCAGTTTGGCTATGTAAGTTCTGAAACTCAAGAGAAATGTGTTGCAAAAGTTGTGTTTGCAGCAGTTTGGTTCTGAAGGGTTCGACTTATCCTCGATGGTTCTGGGGATCTGGTTCCCCTGGGGCCTGCATCTCCACTGTGGGCCACAGTGGGCCCCAGCTTTGAGTGCAGGAGCAGAAGCAGGCTGGATCAGAGGAGGGAGAAAGAAGAGAGGCCAAAAGAGAATCCTGTGTGCTCTGTGGTTTTCTCTGTCCTCACAGAGGGGGGTTGGTGGTTGGTCACACCTCTGTGACTTCCATGTGACTGCTTTGGCTGAAAAAGGGGGGCTGCAGAAGTCCCCCAGCTGTTATTCACCAAAGCTGCGTTTTCTTCTCTGGTCATCCTATCAGGATTAAATATGGACACTGCTTCCCAATGTCCAAAAAGTATGATCATGGCATGTGGCATAACAGAAATTATAAACAAAAGTTACATGTGAAATGACATCTAACAACTTTGAACAAACAGGGAAAAACAGATCTACCTGAAAAAGCAGGAGTAAATTATATACCAGCTATTTCTCATACTTTATATATAAAATATGAGAGATACATTAATATATTAATCATTAGATGCCACAGAGCATAGATTAAATAACAGGCGTTGCATGGTCATCCAATCCATACTTCTGTTTGTTCATGACCAGCGTGTTTAACCCACTTGGCCCTCCTCTTAGTGAATATATTTTTCTGAAGGCGGAGGATGAAGGTGATCCTTTCCATAAGGTAACGATACTTGTCCACTCTTGTATTGTGGGTGGGTCGGGGACCAACCAACGTCTTGTGAGTGCTTTTTACCAGCAGTTATCAGAATATCAAATAAATATTCATCAGCTTTCCTGAACTGTAAATCAAAATTTCCTAAAAATAATGTTGAGAACTGCAGAGGTAGATTAGTTTTAAACAGACCAGAAGTTCTGCCCAGAAAGGTCTATCCACTGGGCATTCCCAAAAGATATTCCAATGATCGGCTTCCTGGTGTCCACATTGCCTCCAACACACAGCTTCACCTCCAGTAAAATTTGTCTTTTGTTTTGGTGATAAAGAAACGGATCAAACACTTCCATCCAAACTCTCGCCATGAATGAGAGTTGGTGCATTTCCACTGGGATTAACAAATGTCAATCCAATCCTCCTCAGTTATCATCAGATTACCCCCTATCTCTGGATCATAAGCACACCGTTGGATTATTTGTAATCTGTCATTTGATTTATATTCCTCGTTTATCATTTTCCAAATTTTTTATTGCGTTTTGATCCATGGATTCTGTACCTTATTTATGAGTCCTCCCAGATGCTTGTGAGCTAGAACTGCTTGTATATGGGGGTCAGTTTGAGTTCTATATTTTTCCATCTAGCTTGGAAGGATGGGTTACACAGATTAATTAGGGGTCTAATCTGAGCGGTGCAAAAGTAATCTTTAAAACTAGGTAAGGACATTCCCCCTTTCTCTTTAGGCAGTTGTAAAATCTTAAGTCTAAGACTGTTTTTTTTACCCGGCCAAATAAACCCGTGACATAATCTTATTCAGTTCAGAAAATCGTTTTGGGGAATTTCTACTGGGAGTTCCTGAAATAAGTAAAGAAATCGCGGGAAAATATTCATTCTCACAGAATCAATTCTGTGACTAAGACCAAGAAAAGAAATTGAATTCCCTCTGTGTATATTATCTTTAATTTTCACCAAGAGGGGGCCATCATTTATTACTGCTAAAGTTGAAATTATTTTTGGCATTTTTATTACAAAATATTTTAATGACTTTTGATCCCAATTAAAATGAAATTTTAAAATGAAATTTCTCTCTAAATTGCTTTTTGGGTTTATAGTTAATGGTCAGAATTTGTATCTTTTGTATGTTCAATTTATATCCAGAATGATTACCAAAGTTTTCCAAGGCAGTCATTAATTTGGGAGGGATTCAGGAGGATTACTTAAATAAACCAGCATGTCATCAGCGTATAGCGCCACCTTATGGTCCTCTCCATTAATGCTGATACCTTTAATATTCTGAGCCTGTCTTATCATTATGGCTAGGGGCTTAGACTTAGACTTCAGACTTAGACTTTAGACTTTATTTGTCCCCACGGGGAGATTCTTTTCCACATACACAGAAGTCGTTTACACAAAGACATAAAAATGACACCACAGTAAACACCAACACCGGCAAAAGTACAAGACGCGATACGAGACATGATACACTCAACGGGACCGGTTGTTCAAAAAGGTGATGGCTGAAGGGATCAGGCTCCTGCCAAAACGGGCCCTTCTACACCTGAGTGCCCTGTACCTCTGTCCAGAGGGGAGGGGTATGAGGTAGTCCTGTAGTGGGTGAGTGGAGTCTCGTTCTATGGAGTGAAAAAAACGTCCTATATAAAGTGCAAATAACAGCGGTGAGATTGGGCATCCCTGTCTCGAGCCCGGTTCCAGTGTAATGGTGTCCGAAATGTAACCATTTATTTTTATCCAAGCCAATGGTTTGTTATATAATGTACCAATCCCTTTAATAAAAGTGTTATCCAGGCCAAATTTCTCCATGACTTTATATAAGAAAGGCCAACTTACCGAATCAAAGGTCTTTTCTGCATCTATACTTACTAAACAGGCTTGAATATTATTCTTTTGGATATGATGTAATCTATGTAAAGATGCCTAATGTTGTGGTGAGTCTGTCTTTGTGAGATAAATCCAGTCTGATCATTGTGTGGAATCTGAGGGAGAACTTTGTCCAGTCTTCTTCTGGGGAGGATAATTTCATAAAGTGTGTAGTCAACATTCAGCACCGAGATAGGTCTGTAGGAACTACACTCTAATTTATTTTTTCCTTCTTTGAGGATGACAGAGATCACCATTTTAGCATCTGTTAATGTCGTATTACAGGCTCAGAGGAGGGTTGGCACTAGCTCGGCTTTAAATGTCTTGTACCACTCTGAACAGAAGCCGTCTGGGCCTGGTGATTTATTTGCTTTTAGGTTGGAAATGGCCTTGGATAGCTCTATCGCAGTAAAAGGGGCTGTTTTTTGAGAGATTTAAAAAAAAAATATTAATTTGTTGATCATCTTCCCATTGGGATTGTTAATACAGGCGCTTGTAGTATTTTCTAAAGGTTCTTTGTATTTCATCTTGTTTGAACTGTATAGTTTTAGAGTCCATATTCCTTATTTTGTATATTGTGTTGTCTGTTCATTGCTTTTGCAGTTTTCTTGCAAGGATTTTAAGTGATTTTGCTCCAGACTCATAAGTTTGTCTTGTGAATATCAGCTTTTTTTTCAATTTCCTGTGTATATATTAGATTTATCTCCTTTCTGTTTTTATTTTATTTAATATGTCTGGTTTTTGTTCTTTCTTATGTTCCGTTTCAAGATTTTTCAGTTCTTGATCAAGATCTATCAGTCTTAATTGTTTTTGTTTCTTTTCAAGGCACAGAATGATATTATTCTCCCTCTGAAAAAAGCTTTTAAAGTATCCCATACTGTAGCTGAAGCAACCTCGCCGTTGTCATTTTCTTCGAGGAACCTTTTTATTTCCTCTTTCATTTGGGTTTTGAATCTTGGATTATTTAGAATACCTGCATTTAACCTCCATAAAGTTCTACCCGGGTTATTGATAATATCTACAGTGCAGGAGGGGGGGGCATGGTGCGATAGATCAATGTTTCCAATATCACAACCATGAATTCAATGACGGTCTCTCTTCAATATAAAAAAGTAATCTTTCCTGGAATAAACATCATGTGGGTGTGAATAAAAAGTATAGTCACGGCCGGATGGGTAGAAATCTCTCCACAAATCTAGATTTACCAAGTTCTGTCATTAAGGCATTCATTTTCTTATGCAATAGCGTAGTAATTGGGCTTTTGGATGAACCCTGTTTGTGGATTGAAACGGATATTAAAATCATCACTTATGACACCTCCTGTGTCCTTTATCATTAGTCAAATATGTTTCTATAGAAAGCAAAATCACTTCCAGGTGGGCATAAACATTACAAATTGTTAGAACTACGTCATGTATTTTCCCTGAGACTATTACATATCTCCCTTCCTTAGACCAGATTTGAACACATTCAGGCTCTAAAAAGCAAACAGATTAATGCTGACGGAGGAGCAACAGGAAAGACTGGAGAAGACAGAAGGTGAATGCCATTAAACTATTTATTTTACAGCTTAAGTTTGGCTGAAAATATCAGAGAAAAAATGGAAAAAGATTGTTTCTAATTTATATGAAACCAGATAAAGAAACACATTTTTACAATCAATGAGGTTTTTATTGCTGCTCGTTTATCAATTTAGAAGTTATTACAATCATTAAAAACATCCACAGCAGAATATAATCCATAAAATCAGTTGTATAAAATAAGTGATAGTTACTTTCAATCATAGCAGGTAAATAGAACATCTACAGAATCAAGAACAAAACTATTAGAATTAGTTCAAAGGAAATTTACCGTATTTTCACGACCGTAAGGTGCACCGTACTAAAAGGCACAGTCTCAGTTATGTGTGCCATTTCTGTATTTAACACACACATAAGGCGCACCGGACTATAGGGCGCGTTTTTTATATACCGGTACATTTCCTCTACTACGTTTAAATACCTCTACTGCATATTTAAAAATACAGCGGGAGCAAAACTGAGTATGTTTGTGCTTTATTCATGTATTTATTACAAAGTATTAATAAAACCTGGGAGCTGGCCGTGAGACATTCCTATTGTCGTTGCACCGCTGGTATGTGGGGGTCTGAGCGCCTCTGACAGAAATAATAGGCAGGATGATAATCTGGATGAACTGACTGCAATTATTAAGTTTTCAGGTGGATTTTCTCACTTAAAAACATATTAAAACTGCTTTATTCCCACTGATCACAGCAAATATAGCTGCAAAGTGTATTTATTACAAAGTATTATTCAAACCTGGGAGCTGGCCGTGAGAGACACATCGCTGATGAAACAGCGCTGTGATCCCTCCTCTGAAACAGTTCATTACGCATAAATTAACTTAAAATCCTGAAACCTGCCGACAGAGTATGTTCGCTTTGATTATCCTATTATCCTTTTATAATCCTTTAGATTATTTAGATAATTCGCTGCGGTGAACCCGGAGGAGACCCGCCCCAGAGGCTGCTGTTGAATTAAGTTTTCAGGTAGAAAAATAGAGCGACGGAAAAACTGAGTATGTTTGTGAGGAGTTCTGCATGGTGCATGGTGGTCTCAAAAGTCCGCAGTAACAACACACATAGGGCGCACCGCAGCAAAGGGCGCGCCACACATTTTGAGGGGAAAAAAATATGTTTATATGCGCCTTATAGTCGTGAAAATACGGTATACTTTCAAAAATCTTTAAAAAGCAGAAACTTCACACTTCTAGAGGAGAGTCAGATTTCTTTAATACGTTATTAAGACAAAGGCTTTTTACCAAGTTAAAGCAGGTTCAAACTGATCAGTAAAAATAACAGCAACATCATCAATCCTGTATCTTTTTAAACAAACATGTTTCATCATTTTAGGACTTCAATTTACCTGAACTACTTTTATTTTCATCTGAATTTCTCTGTTTTTGGAATATATCTAACCAATAGAAAAACCATTCAGCTAAAACCTTCTAAGTCTCAAAAATAAAACATGCAAGTTTTTTTTTTTTCTGAATAAATTCATTCAGAAAAGGTTGTGCAACACCATGCCAAAATAGGACAGTAGGGGTCCGTCTGGATTCTTTTCAATTTAAATATCTATAACTTCTCAATAGCTTGTTGTATGGACAGCAAACTTGCCTCATCTGTAAAGAAGATAATTTTGTTATATATATATATATATATATATATATAAATATATATATATATATAATTCCTTCCACATCAAGCATGAATAAATGTCATCTGAATACTCAAATTACCTTCTCATTTAAAAGCGTTGTCTCAAATCATTCAGGAGAACATCTCACCAGTGTGGAGTGTCATATGTTTAGTCAAACTACTTTTTTCAGTAAACTTCTTCTTACAAATGTTACAGGAAACAGACTTCTCACCTGCGTGAATTCTCATGTGTTTATTAAGTTCAGACTTAGAGGTAAAGCGTTTTCCACAGGAGAGACATTCAAATGGTCTCTCCCCTGTGTGAATTCTTGTGTGAGCGGTCAAATTACTTTTTTTAGTAAAATTCTTAAAACAAATGGTACAAGAAAAAGGTTTCTCACCTGCATGAATTCTGACATGTGTATAAAGACTAGATTTCTGAGTGAAGCTTTTCCCACAGGACAGACATTCAAAAGGCTTCTCTCCAGTGTGAATGATCTTGTGTTTATTAAGATCAGACTTAGAGGTGAATTGTTTTCCACAGGAGAGACATACAAATGGTTTTTCACCTGTGTGAATTCTCATGTGTGTAGTTAAATGATTTTTTTTTGTAAAATTCTTGTTACAAATGGTACAGGAAAAAGGTTTCTCACCTGTGTGAATTCTAACGTGTGTATCAAGAGTAGATTTCTGAGTGAAGTTTTTTCCACAGAACAGACATTGAAAAGGTTTCTCCCCTGTGTGAGTTCTTATGTGACTATTAAGATTACATTTTATAGTGAAGTTTTTTCCACAGAACAGACATTCAAAAGGCTTCTCCCCTGTGTGAGTTCTTATGTGACTATTAAGATTGCATTTCTGAGTGAAGTTTTTTCCACAGGACAGACATTCATAACTCTTCTGACCCATGTGAGTGTGAGCCATACAATTTTCTGTGTTTATTTCTCTGCATGTCAAACATGGGAAAGGTTCCTCTCCAATATCTTCAGTCTGCTTCAGAACAAGCTGCTCTTCCTGCTCACTTATGGGGAGCTCAATAGTTTCCTCTTTTGTCCAGGGATGTTCTGGTTCTTGCTGCTCTTCTTTTATCTGCGGAGCATCTGGTTTCTCTTGGTCCAAACTGGAATTCCTCTCCTGTTCATCGAGCTGCTGGTCAGAGAAATCCTCCTCTTTTCCAACATAATCCTGCAGGCAGTCTGGAAAGACAAACAGCAGAAAGACTTTCTATTGGTGGTTAAATAAATGACATTTCACATAAAAGCATAAAAGCCCTTAGGATAAGGGTAGGATCAGTCATCACTTGGGGATCATAGCAGGAGCTGACAGATCCTTGCTTGCTAGAGCCTTTATCCTGCATGTTGCAAAAAGCTGAGGCCCTAAGGAGATGGACAGTATGGTCAAAGGGTCCTACTCATCCAACCATGAAGATCTCAGGGTCCTAGAAGTGAGAGATACTTTCTAGGCCTTGAGATCCAGGAACCCAGGTGTTGTTTTACAGCCGAGGACAGGATGGAGAAGGAAATTATTGAGAAAGTAGTTGCCAAACAGTGTGCGATCATTTCCACCATAATAAACTGTTTGAAGAGTTTCAGTCTGGCTTTAGAGCTCATCATAGCACTGAAACAGCTCTGGTGAAAGTCACTAATGATATTCTCATGGCCTCAGATAATGGACTTGTATCTGTGCTCGTCCTGTTGGATCTCAGTGCTGCCTTTTAAACAGCTGATCATAATATTCTTTTAGAAGCATGTTTGTAGCCACGGATTTATCTGGCAGATTTCAGTTTTTTCTCATTAATGATAAATCTTCTTCATGCTCCACTGTTACTGTGGAATACCACTGGGATCAGTGCTAGGACCAATTAGCTTTACTATATATTTGCTCCCGGTGGGGAGGACGAGATCCGTCCTGAGTATCTTAAAGCTCTGGATGTTGTTGGGCTGTCATGGTTGACACGTCTATTCAGCATCGCGTGGAGGTCGGGAACAGTCCCCCTGGATTGGCAGACTGGGGTGGTGGTTCCCCTCCATAAGAAGGGGGACCGGAGGGTGTGTTCCAACTATCGGGGAATCACACTTCTCAGCCTCCCCGGAAAGGCCTATGCCAGGGTGCTGGAGATGAGAGTCCGGCTGATTGTCGAACCTCGGCTGCAGGAGGAGCAGTGTGGTTTTCGTCCTGGCCGTGGAACAGTGGACCAGCTCTACACCCTCTGCAGGGTGCTTGAGGGTTCTTGGGAGTTTGCCCAACCAGTCCACATGTGTTTTGTGGACTTGGAGAAGGCATTCGACCGTGTCCCTCGTGCTGCCCTGTGGGGGGTGCTCCAGGAGTATGGAGTCGGGGGCCCTTTATTAGGGGCCATCCGTTCTCTGTACAATCGGAGCAGGAGTCTGGTTCGCATTGCCGGCATTAAGTCGGACCTGTTCCCGGTGCATGTTGGACTCCGACAGGGCTGCCCTCTGTCACCGGTCCTGTTCATAACTTTTATGGACAGGATTTCTAGGCGCAGCCAAGGACCGGAGGGGGTCTGGTTCGGGGACCAGCGGATCTCGTCCCTGCTTTTTGCGGATGATGTAGTTCTGCTGGCTCCCTCCTGCCAAGACCTACAGCGTGCGCTGGGGCGGTTCGCAGCCGAGTGTGAAGCGGCCGGGATGAGAATCAGCTCCTCCAAGTCCGAGGCCATGGTTCTCGACCGGAAAAAGGTGGCTTGTCCCCTTCAGGTTGGAGGAGAGTCCCTGCCTCAAGTGGAGGAGTTCAAGTATCTTGGGGTCCTGTTCACGAGTGAGGGAAGAATGGAGCGGGAGATTGATAGACGGATCGGTGCGGCTGCTGCAATAATGCGGACGCTGCACTTGTCTGTCGTGGTGAAGAGAGAGCTGAGCGAAAAGGCAAAGCTCTCAATTTACTGTTCGGTCTACGTTCCTACCCTCACCTATGGTCATGAAATTTGGATCATGACCGAAAGAACGAGATCCCGGACACAAGCGGCTGAAATGAGCTTCCTCCGCAGGGTGGCTGGGCTCTCCCTTAGAGATAGGGTGAGGAGCTCGGTCATTCGGGAGAGGCTCAGTGTAGAGCCGGTTCTCCTCCACATCGAGAGGAGTCAGTTGAGGTGGCTCGGACATCTTCTTCGGATGTCCCCTGGACGCCTCCCTCGGGAGGTGTTCCAGGCACGTCCCACTGGGAGTAGGCCCAGGGGACGACCCAGGACACGCTGGCCTGGGAGCGCCTAGGGCTTCCCCCAGCAGAGCTGGAGGAGGTGTCTACGGAGAGGGAAGTCTGGGAGTCTCTGCTTAGTCTGCTGCCCCCGCGACCCGGTTCCGGATAAAGCGGGAGACGACGAGCGGACGAATATATTTGCTCCCAATCGGTAGAATCATTGGACAGCTTTGTTCAATCATTGGCTGTTTTTTTTTTTTTGTTTTTTTACTTATCTTCCTTTCTGCTTTTCCGATCTCCTACCGAGTCCAAAATCAGGCGCTGCAGCTTTCTGAGGACCCAGCCCACGTAGGCCGGGTCCTTCAAAGGCTTCAAAAACATTAAAGGCTGGAATTGATCAGCTGTGAAATGGAAATCAACTATCTCAGATAATGGAAAATTGTATCTTCTGGACATATTACAAAGGGTAGAATCAGATTGGAAATTCATGACTGGAAACCCCCATTTAAAAAAACAGCAGCCTCACAAAACTATTTATTTGCTATACTCCCAAGCTTATTTTAATTGGGAGCCCCTTTGTTCCTGATAGAGAAGCCTAGCATATAGCCCTGCTTCTGGGAGAGGAAAAAGGCCAGACCAATGAATGTTATCTTCTTATTAGAAACCAATAAACCACCAATATGGGAACTTTAGCCCTACATCTATCATTTTCATGGGAAACATGACAATAATGAAAACTTACCAGATAAACATCGATCTTTAAAGACGACTCCTGGGTGTGACTCGACTACTTAAAAATGTTAGTGGGTTGTCTGTTAGGTGTTTAAAATGCAAAGTGCTGTAATCTGTTAGACAAGCTAAGCAGTATCAGCCGTGCTGCTGCGTCTTGTTTGGTCATGCAGCCCACCTGGCGTGCAGCGCTGCACATTCTGCATGACCACAGATGGATCATGGCGGCAGAGGAGAAAATAACCCGGAATCATCCGGTACTCTGATCTTCCAGCTGTGCTTGTGCAGAAATGAGTCTTTGCTCAAGCGTAGCTCAGAGTCATCACTTTATGCTCCACACTGATGGTTCTCTGTCAGCAGGATGTCTCTTCCTGCTCTCGCTACTCAATAAACTATGTGGCTGCTCATCCTCTGCCAAGCATAAAAAATCCCTTTGACTAACCATCAGGATTTTTATAAGAAGCTCACAAGCGGTGATGCTAAACATTCTTTCATTTCTACCAAAAGGAATCGCTACATTATATCCAAAGAAAATATTTATTGCATACTGTTTATTTTGGATTAAGTCCCAGGTGAAAAGGTACATAGATCTGTGAATATTTCTCTATCCTAGTTCTTGTTTCTATCTTTTGAATACTTCAACTTTTTAGTTAACATATTGAAATTTAGGTCTGGATTGTAGAAAGAAGATTGTTTTTTGTTTTTGGATTTTTTTGGAGCAATGAAGACTTTATTGATCTGTGTGTTTTAAATAATTAATAGTAGATCAGGAAGGGATTGCTTTGGGATGAAACCTTATATGTTTTAAACCATTCCTTTATTGTACATTTTGTTAGCTTGTCTGTCTGTAAAACTAACCAATATGATGTGTTGAACTAGATCTGCTATTTCACAACTTTTGTGAGAGATATTTGTATAAAGTAGGGCATTAATTCATAAAAAGTTTACTCTAATTCTATAAATCAAAGTTTTCTGCCCAACAGCAATGATGAACTGCACGGCAGCATTCTATAACCCGCTACTGTAGCATCTAGGTTAGAGCTGTCAGTCCGGTAAAGAATCTGGTTATTCAGAATTGTAAAGGTTCACTTTTTAATGAATTGCAAAATAAAACTGACTAAAAATAGACTTCAAAGTTTAAAGTTTTAGTCGACTAAAACCGACGAAAACTATCACGTATCTTTGTGAATAAAATGTGACTAAAACTAATAATAGTTTTGCCCTGCACTGCAAAAAATATAAATCTCAATAAGTTATTTTTTCTTAAAATAAGTGTGTTTTTCCTTGATTTGAGGAGATAAGTAAGACACTTTGCCAATGGAACAAGACAATTTCCTTTTAAAATAAGAAAAAACTATTTTATCGTCTTATTTCAAGTAAATATTATCTAACTATCTTATTTTAAGAGTGAAAATACTCATTCCATTGGCAAATCATCTTATTTACCTGCTCAAATTAAGGCTACATATACTTAATTTAAGCCATTTTTTACTTATTTCTGGATTGTTTTTGCAGTGTGAAGACTAAAAGTAAGACTAAATCCAAGATGGCAAAAACAACACTGGTCTCCTGCTTCAGAACAAGCTGCTCTTCCTGCTCACCTATGGGGAGCTCCATGGTTTCCTCTTTTGTCCAGGGATGTTCTGGTTCTTGCTGCTCTTCTTTTATCTGCAGAGCTTCTGGTTCCTCTTGGTCCAAACTGGAATTAATCTCCTGTTCATAGAGCTGCTGGTCAGAGAAATCCTCCTCTTTTCCAACATAATCCTTTAGCCGGTCTGGAAAGACAAACACAGCAGAAAGACTTTCTATTAGTGGTTAAATAAACAACCCCTGGCATAAAAGCACCAAACTCTGTCCTTGAGTTTGAGGAGTGAGTGGATCCTGTCAAGCAACTTAAAGATATGAAGTGCATTATGGCGTATGGACATACCCCAGCTGAATGTGTCAGAGAATGAGCAGGTTTTAAAGGAGTTTCAATTGAAATTTCTCTGTTCTATCCTATTGAAAAGAAGCATTATGTTGTGTTTTGGTAATGTTTTCTTTTAGCCAACTGCCTCCACAGGAACTCCCACGAAGGTGTGGCTTGTCACCACCCCCTGTTGAGGACAGTAAAGACCCATTGCAGTATTTTTCTCTCTCTTTCCCATGAAGCTGCCTGAGGCCCATTTTGGAAAAAACAGCCAAAATAGAGATCCAGGCAAAAGGCCCAGATCTCCAGAATGATCAAGGATAAGTCATCGTGGTTGACTTTTCTGAACCAAACTGCTGCAAAACAGACTTTTTGCAACACATTTCTGTTGAGTTTCAGAACATACAGAGCCGGACTGGATGAAAATGTCTCCTAAGGATCCCTTGGTGTGAGCAACATGGACAACAAAGCCTGCCTTGCTGTTAGCCTGCCTGCTTAGCTTCTGCTTTTCCAACTCTTCCTTCTTCCTCTCCTCTCTCCTGCTCTCTGTGTCAGATGTTCAGTTATTCCTCTGCCTCCTTTAGTGATAATGGGATGTGTAATAAGTGTAGTATTTTTGTAGCTTTGGAGGCGAGGGTATCAGAGTTAGAATCCAGGCTTCAGGCTGTTGAACATCCAGGAGTTAAAGTAGGCCCCCCACGTAGCTGTCCTCCAAAAGTGCCTGAGCAGCCAGGCGATTGGGTAACTGTACGCAGAAAGCGTAGTCGTGGATCTCTGCCCACTGGTCACCACCAACCCGTTCACGTTTCTAACCGGTTTTCCCCACTCAGTGACACACCCACTGAGAAGCCCACTCTGGTGATTGGCAGCTCCATAGTCAGAAACGTGGCATTAGAGACACCAGGGACCATAGTCAAATGTTTGCCGGGGGCCAGAACGGGCGACATCAAATCCTACCTGAAACTACTGGCTAAGGATAAGGTTAAATACAGTAAGATTGTTATTCACGCTGGTGGTAATGACACCCGGTTACGCCGATCGGAGGTCACTAAAATTAGTGTGGCTTCGGTGTGTAAGTTTGCCAAAAAAATGTCGGACTCCGTAATTTTCTCTGGTCCCCTCCCTGATCTGACCAGTGATGACATGTTTAGCCGCATGTCGTCATTCAACTGCTGGTTGTCTAGGTGGTGTCCTGAAAACAACGTGGGCTACATTAATAATTGGCAATCCTTTTGGGGAAAGCCTGGTCTGATTCGGAGAGACGGCATCCATCCCACTTTGGATGGTGCAGCTCTTCTTTCTAGGAATCTGGCCACATTTATTAGTCCTCCAAAACCCTGACCACCCAGGGTGCAGACCAGGAAGCAGAGTTGTAGTTTAACACACATCTCTCCAGCTTCTCTACTGTTACCCACTCTTTACTCCATCCAGACAGTGTCTTGCCCACGACCAAAATCTAATAAATTAGCAAAGATTCCCAAAGGAGTAAATCATGATAATCTAATTAAAATCAAAATAACTCCAATTGGGGAAAAAGTTAAAACAATTAAATGCGGTCTGTTTAACATAAGATCGCTTTCCTTTAAAAGTCTACTAATTAATGACTTGATTTGTGATAATCACATTGACTTGTTTTGCCTTACAGAAACCTGGCTGCAGCAAGAGGATTATGTGAGCATAAATGAGGCAACTCCTTCAAGCTATTTAAATTTTCACATCCCCAGAAGTTCTGGGCGAGGAGGAGGAGTAGCAACAATCTTCCAGTCTGACTTACTGATTACTCCCAAAACAATTAATACCTACAACTATTTTGAACATTTAACGCTTAATTTCCCTGATCCAAATTTCAAGGCAAGAAAACCTCTTCTTTTTGTAACTTTGTATCATCCACCAGGTCCTTACTCTGAATTTTTAGATGAGTTTTCAGAGTTCCTTTCTGATTTGGTATTAAATACTGACAGGGTCATCATAGTGGGAGATTTTAACATCCATGCTGACATTGAAGGCGATAGCTTAAGAGCAGCCTTTAATGCTATCTTAGACACTATTGGCTTTGTTCAAAATGTGAATAGTCCCACGCATTCTCATCTTCATACTTTGGATCTTGTGCTGACATACGGCATAGAATGTGAAGAAATAACAGTATTTCCTCACAACCCTGTACTCTCTGACCACTTTCCAATAACCTTCAGGATTACTTTAACAGAGTTCTCCTCCCCCAAAAGAAGGTTCAATTTTAGTAGATCTTTATCAGATAGTGCAGTTATAAATTTTAAAGAATCTGCTTCACTTTCTCTCTCCTCTGTGTCACTGAGCAGTGCTGCAGAGTGCAAAAGCTTAGCTTATTCCCCTTCACAGGTTGATGATTTTGTTGATGGGGTTGCTAGTTCTCTGCGTATTGCCTTAGACAACGCAGCTCCTTTGAAAATGAAAACCGTTAAAAATAGAAAGCTTGCTCCTTGGTTTAACCCATTTAGGCCTAAAACGCCTGGAAAAAACACCTTAAAAACCTATGGCCGATTTTAAAAAATACCCCTAAAACCTGAAGTTTTTCTGTAAATTCAGCAACTGTGTCAACGCCTAGTAAATTATTGATATCTCAGCTTCTGTAGCAGATAGAACTCAAAATATATTTTATCTTTGAAATTCTTCCCAAAAAAAAAAAGTGAAAAGCAGTAATCAAAAAAAATAAATAAATAAAATTCAACCTTTTATTTTTTCCATATGTGATCATGTCTTCATTGAGAATGTGCAATATAAAACGTTTTTAAAATAAAGAACAAACATTACATAAATAACTATCTGATGATTACTTATTAACAGTATTATTATGCATAATAATGCATATGTCTGTGTTATAAATTGCATACAACTTACCTCCAGATGGCCACAAATCTGTCCCGGGACATATTTTGGGGGAACTGCGTCCTGAAGAGAGATTTACTCTGTCGCCAATAATCTCTTCGTATTGGCAACACAAGAAGTCCCATGCCCATACACAGCCCAATAAATGTCTTTATCTCCGTCACAGTCACGGGTGACCACTTTGCCATCTTTGCTCTTGTTGGAGTTTGGTTTGTTTGGTCACTGTACCTATTCGTCTCGGTAACAAGATGCATCCAAAGTTCTTCATTAAAAATATGCTCAAATGCCGGCAGCGGTGTGGCGTCTGCAGGCAAATCAACTTTCACTCCAGGTGTGCGGTTGAAAACACTCCGTGCATTGCGGTGGTAGTTTGATTGGTTCAGCGCGTTCAAAGTCATCATTTTCATCTATACCGTCATCAAAGCCGACACACTCCTCAAAATCACTGCCTTCCGACAACTCTTCTCTGTCAAACTCCTCCATGTTTGCTTGAAAAAAACTTCTTTCTTCTTGCTTGACTTATATGCTCTCCCGGCGTCAATGGTAGAATTACGCAACAGCGCCCCCGGCTTGAATGGTAGAAATGCGGTAATGCTTTCCCGGCCTAAATGGGTTAATGCAGAGCTGCGTACTTTGAAGCAAAATGCTAGGAAACTGGAGAGAAAATATCGCTCCACAGGCCTGCGAGAGTCCTACCTAGTCTGGAAAAATGATTTACTGCTGTATAAGAGGACTCTTTGTAAAGCAAGAGCAGCATACTTCTCCTCATTAATAGAGGAGAATAAGAATAATCCTAGATTTCTTTTTAATACAGTTGCCAAACTCACCCAGAGCCATAGCTCTGTTGAACCGTCCATTCCACCTGCTCTTAGCAGCAATGATTTTATGGGATTCTTTATAAATAAGATTGATCTTATTAAAAATAAGATCATAAGCACTCCTCTATCCGCGATTGTACCTGAGGTAGTCATGGAATCTGAACCGGGTTTAGACTGCTTTGATCCAGTTGAACTCTCTGAATTAGCAAAATTATTGTCTTCATCTAAGCCTTCAACTTGTATGTTAGATCCAGTTCCAACCAGGTTATTTAAGGAGGTATTCCCTTTGATCTCCTCCTCCATTTTAGATGTGATTAATCTATCTCTGTTACAGGGATATGTACCTAAAGCTTTTAAGGTTGCTGTAATTAAACCTCTGCTTAAGAAACCGTCTCTTGACCCAGATGACTTGGTCAATTATAGACCTATATCCAATCTTCCTTTCTTATCCAAAATTCTTGAGAAAGTAGTTGCCAAACAAGTTTGCGATCACTTCCACCATAATGAACTTTTTGAAGAGTTTCAGTCTGGCTTTAGAGCTCATCATAGCACTGAAACAGCTCTGGTGAAAGTCACTAATGATATTCTCATGGCCTCAGATAATGGACTTGTATCTGTGCTCGTCCTGTTGGATCTTAGTGCTGCATTTGATACAGTTGACCATAATATTCTTTTAGAAAGACTTGAATATTTTGTTGGAATTAAAGGAACAGCACTAGACTGGTTTAAATCTTATCTATCTGATCGAATTCAGTTTGTTCATGTTAATGATAGATCTTCAACACGCTCAAAGGTTACCTGTGGAGTACCACAGGGATCAGTGCTAGGACCAATTCTCTTTACTTTATACATGCTCCCAATTGGTAGAATTATTAGACAGCATGGGATTAATTTCCACTGTTACGCTGATGATACCCAGCTATATCTGTCTATAAATCCAGATGAAGCTAACCCATTACATAGATTACAGGCATGTCTTGAAGACATAAAAACCTGGATGACTCTTAACTTTCTGCTCCTGAATGCAGACAAAACAGAAGTTATAGTCTTTGGACCAGAGTCTCT